ATTGATTCAAAGCAGCAGTAGACGCCGACGACAACTGAAGTTGTTTGCGACGAGAGGACAACTTAGGGCATGGAGTTTGTGGCCGGTGCGGCGCGAATCGATGATGGTTGAGGCTGCTTGCAACGGCGATAGTGAGGAGATTGTAACAGATCCTGAGTTTGAGGTTGAATTCAATGGTCGTAAGCGTTTGGATTACGGTTGTAAGCTTTGCGGATCTTGAAGGTGGTGTTGATGTCCGATATCAAACAGACTATTAATCTAGAAGAGAATTGTTGCAGGGTGATGAAGGATGATGGAGGGCCCACTCCCTTCTTCGATTTTATGCCTTGTTCTTGAACAGGGGTCTAAAATTCGTGCTGCACAGTCGGAAAGAACTCGTGAGAAGGTGGGGATCGGTTCCCCCATGGTTTCTTCGACGATCAAGTCAGTTGATGAACGTGAGCTTGAGTGGAGTTTAGAACTATGTGTTCTTATGCTATGTGCATTAGAGATGATCATCTCTTAGATTGGATCAGGAGGAAGATTTAGATTGCTTGTTTTTTACTTACCTTGCGCTCTTGGTGAATAACATCCATATATAGGGTGGATGTTCATGGTAGATTGGTTATTTTGGCCGTGCAGAATGACGATGAAAAAATGTGAGCTGAAAGGTAAGTCATCCCTCGCTTTACAGGTGTCGGCTGGCGACTGGAGGATAAGTCATCTCAGCGTGGGAGATGGCATCTCCGTGATATTCGGGAAGTGACTTGCGAGCGTGGCAGAAGGCACATGGGCATTCTGAGGCATCCCTCGCTTTACAGATGTCGGCTGGAGACTAGAGGGGAAGTCACTTCAGCTCTAGAGAGGATGTCTCCACTTTTTCAGGAAAGTGATTGAGCTGACAAGTCGTGGAGACTTATCAGGCCAAAATCTGGATAAGGTTTGTTTGAGGTGGACTGAGATGTGAACATTTTCTCTGGGGGAGAGGCTTGAGACCAGAATCGAGTCCTCAATTTAGTCGATAGCAGGGAACGTCCCTTAAGTCGTTTCTGAGAAATATCTAGTGAGTGGTCGAGTGCCCTAAATAGGGTCGTCCTTAATAATAGGGTTGACCGACATTGCCTTTTGTGTCGACTCAGGAATATTGGCTTATTTCGACTGGTTGGAATGTCGTCTTGTCTGGGAGTTCAGGATCTCTCGTACTGGCTAGTATCACCTCTAGTGTCGACACCAGGGTGTCGGCTTGATGAGTAGGTGGGGCTGAGACCTCTGTAATTGTGCTATGGGGTTTATCCCTTGATAAAGAGCCAAGGGCTTGATATTCGACTGAGGAGTCAAATGCCTGGAACTCTTGAGAGTTGACTAGGGCACTCCGAGAGATGACTGTGGGAGTCGGCCAAAGGGTTGAGCTTGTTTTGCTTAGGACTCTTATCGTATCATTTCACAAATACTGTATCTTGGGTAAGTGAACACCATAATAGTTGGCCCCTTTCTTTTGGAGTTGGCTTTTAGTCGACTCCGAGAGAAATAAGATATGCTCTTGATCAATACAAGTCAACTGAGGGCGAGAAACTGAGAAGTCTCTATCTTAGAGATGTGGCTTGTC